TCCCAGTCACAATTCCAGGAGGTTGTCAGCAGTGACAATTCCAGGAGGTTGTCCCCAGCCTCTCCCCGCAGCTCTTGGCTGCATTCCCAGCTCGGAGCTGTTGCTGTTTGAAAGTTGGACCCTGGACCATCGCGGCGGTTCCGTCCCCATCCCTCCCGTGCCAGTCGTGACTCATCGGCGAGGATTAATCATTGCCGGAGCCTGACACGCGTGTGCCTCTGTGTGCGCCGCGTGTTTGCCTGTGTTGCTCCGTTGCTGGGTGAGTCATTCCCAGTCTGCCCAGGGCTCTCTCTGCTCAGCTCCCGGCGCTGGGAAGCGAATCCAGCTGGGACTGCAGCTCGGGTTAGGGAGGAGCTGCGCAGCAGTAGCTCGGGAAGTTGCCCTTGACCTTGGACCTGTCTTTGCTCAGGGAAGGACTGGGAGAGGTTTTACTTTGGGGTGTTGTGGCTCTTGCAGTGTCCCAGACAGCAGCAAACTATCCCAGGAGCTTCTGCTCTGGTATCCAACAGTGGGAGAAAGCAGCTCCAAACCTCTCTGACTTGGATCCTGCTCAAGTTCCTCTGCCCAGGATAACCAGGGAAGCACCAGGAGCAGCAAACTATCCCAGTAGCTCCTGCTCTGGTGTCTTACAGTGGGAGAAAGTATCTCCAAACCTCTCTGACTTGGATCCTGCTCAAGCTCCTCTGCCCAGGATAGTCAGGAAAGCACCAGGAGCTGCAAACTATCCCAGGAGCTGCTGCTCCTGCTCTGGTATCCAAAAGTGGGAGAAAGCAGCTCCAAACCTCTCTGATTTGGATCCTGCTCAAGTTCCTCTGCCCAGGATAGCCAGGAAAGCACCAGGAGCGCAGCAAACTGCTCCATGAGCAGCAGCCAAGCAGAGCAGATGGACACATGGACAGGCTGAAGGGGAGGATGAGGCTCTGTGGGTGCAGGCTCAGGCTCACAGGGACCTTGGGGACACTGGGAAAAATCAACTCTGCTGTTCTGGAGCTGCTGAGATGGGACCAGCTCTGTCTGTGCTGGGTCAGATGTTTGCCCATAGCAACCACCTCCTGTATCCCTTCATATTCCTGGGCTTCACTCCCAGGAGAAAATCCATCCCTAAAATCCAGTCTGAAACCCTTTGTAGAGGGGAACAGGGACCCATGGGTGCAGCAGCAAAGAGAAGCTCACCCACAGTGCCAGGCTGCCTTCTCTGTGCTCCCCCAAACCCTCCCAAACCTTGGCTGAGCTGTCAAATGGTCAAGAACCAGCTCCTTTTCCAGCTTTCCTTGCTGCAGAGCCCAACTCTCCAAGCAGGAGCTCACCAGGAGCAGCTGGACCCTCACCCACCCCTCATTTCTGGGGTGTAAAGTACTTTTTCCATCCCCTTTGTCATTTCATTCCCATTTCTCCCTCTTGGGATTGGCTTCACAGCTCAATGCATGGGGAGGGGGATGAAGCCCAAGATTTGGGGTGCTGGAAGTGTGTGGCACATCTGGGAGCCTTGGCAGCACTTTGAGGGGGGCAGAGCACCTCACACCCTGCTCCCAGCTGGGAGCACTGGGAATCAGCTGGGGATACTGGAAGGATGGCTGAGTGCTAGTGGGAAAGGGAATCATCTGGGGATACTGGAAGGATGGCTGAGTACTGGTGGGACTGGAAATGGCTGGAGGTGGGAGAATGGGAAACAGCTGGTCCAGGGAACTGAGGTGGGGGAAACTGGACTGAACTGGTGCTCAGAATGTGGGGAGTTAGAAAAGGGCACGAGGAACTGGGAGGAGAGAACTGGGCACAGCTGGGACTGGGGAGAGCTGGGAAATGGAGGCAGGCAGTGCTGGGAGCACTGGGCAAGGACAGTGCTGGGGCAACTGGGCAAAGCAGTGCTGGGAGGACTGGGCAAGGATAGTGCTGGGAGAATTGGGCAGAGGTAGTGCTGGGAGGACTGGGTAAGGATAGTGCTGGGAGAACTGTGCAAGGACAGTGCTGGGAGAACTGGGCAAAGCAGTGCTGGGAGGACTGGGCAAGGATAGTGCTGGGAGAATTGGGCAGAGGTAGTGCTGGGAGGACTGGGTAAGGATAGTGCTGGGAGAACTGTGCAAGGACAGTGCTGGGAGAACTGGGCAAAGCAGTGCTGGGGGAACTGGGCAAGGATAGTGCTGGGAGAATTGGGCA